CTCAGGACTTGAGGAGTGGCCTCACTGTGCCCAGCAGTCCCTGTCCTGGTGCTGCTGGACACACCACTGATGATAAAATCCAGCATCCCACTGCCCCTCTTGGCAATGGCATGCAGTGGAGATGACTGCTTCATTTTGTGGGAGCCTTTCATATGTTTTAGCTTGCTCTCATGACCATAGGACTGTTCCTGTGCTTTTTAGTCTAGAGGATTTCTCCAGGTACATTGTTTCTGGAGTGTCTTTCCCAACACTGTAGTGAGATGACAAGTAGTTTTCAGACTTCTAGGTACTTCAGAAAAAGATTGGTGTAAACCTTAAAGGCAACGTTTTAGCTCAATAATTTTCCCATTCTAGACCTGTTTTTTCATCATCTCACATATATGCAAAACATATGTTACTTGCCAAATACCAGAAATTAAATTACAGCTTTTCTAATACAAAGAGAGACCTCCTCTTCTAGAGGAAGTGTCCTTGCCTTTGGAAGGTCCTTTCCAACTCAAACTATTTTGTCATTCTATGACCTTTTATATGTTGCCATCTGAGACACATTTTCATTTATGTTAATTTATTAGTAGACTTATGCAATGGCAGTCTCCTCAAGACAGCAGTTACCTTGCAGGGTCTCATAATTCCCCCTGCTAGGAAAGCCATGGCAAGTGTGGGAAGAGAAAATGACCTTTTGACCACCAGTGCCCAGCAATTGTTGGAGCAGATACTGTACTGCCACAGATGCATGATCCTGAATACATTGTTCACAATGGAGAAAAGGCAAATCTGAGTCTTTGTATTCTGGAAACTGTTTTCCTTGAGTCAGTCCATCTCTAACTACACTTATCTCCAGGCAGATTTATCTGCTTAGTCTGTCACTTTTCTTTGTATTTATTCCTTGTGAATATGAGTTTCAAGGAGCTGTGTTCTCTGCATGTTTAGTCACTAAGGCCAGAACAAGAGAAATAACTTCCCTAAGACAGTGCTATGTTTTTCTCCTGCTTGTGGTTGATGTGTTTATGATGCAAATCACGAATGTTGCCTCCCAAACCCCTCCCCAAAAAAGAACACTCCAAGTACCCATTACAGATTGGCTCAAAGCTTTGAGTATCTCAGCACTAGTTTGGAAAATACCTTATCAATACTGTTAATATTTAAACTTGGGGTAACCATTAACAGAAAGCACAGATTACACAGTGCTACATCTATTTATTTAGCATCCACAACAAGGTCTAGATAGTGCAAGAACTTAGCATGGTGTTCTTTAACCTCTGAAAGCTAAGTTCAAATCTAGGATTAGATCAGATGTAAATGTTAGTTACTGTCCTCATCCTTTTGTGAGCTTCCTAAACTACACCATTCATAACATTTAGCAATTCCCTGGTATTCTAATTTTAGATCTGTGGCAGGCTGACTGTATTAGCCTGAAACATCACCCCATCCTGTAAACAGGTGTTGATCCTGATGGGAAAGGACTAAGTAGGTTCTGCTGACTCAGAAGTGGGCAATTTTACTACCTCAGTGCAAGGAAACTGCTTTCTGTGAGGGAGGTCCAAGAGTGTGGACTACAGCAATGAGTATATTTTGATTTTAATGCATTTACCGTTTGTTTGATAGCAAATCTAAATCCTGGGGAGAGGGGAGAGAAGTTTTCTGTGCTGCTTGAATATTACTGGAGAGCAGCATGAAAGCCAAGCCTGCAGAGAATGCATCAAATCAGAACTGACCTTCATTACTGGAGCTGTCTGAGTTTGCACGTTGTCTGTCTGCGCCTCTCCTGGCTCAAGTCCAGGAGAGTCAGTGCCATTCGTTTTCAAGTACTGAAAGTTCCCACAAAAAACGTTTACCTGCTTTTAAGATGCTGATTCCCTACTAGTGGGTTCACTGCATCTCCCTTTCAAAAAGCTCATGAGTGCAAAAAAAGTAAGGAAGAATGATTCTGAATTCATTTGTTTGGACACTTCTGATTTAACGGTCTGTAATTTGAAAGAGTTAATTTAGCCCTTCAGTCCAACATCACACCAGAGAATAATTGCAAAGAAATATTGCAGAAGTTCTTATTTGGTCTCTAGAGATAAAAGTCTTCCAGAGGAAGTCCAGGGAGAAATAAAACCAAAACCAACCAAACAAACAAACAGTAAACAAAAAAACCCCAAACATTGGGAGAGTTGTAAAAATTCATTGTCCCTGAATGTATTTCTCACATGAAATCATTCCTCCATGGTCCCAGGCCCATGAATAGGAGCTGTCTTGCAAGATTGTCTTGGCTTCTGTGAAAACTGGTTGATCTAGAATGGCCCAGCCACAGAGAAATGAACCTGTTAGTGTCTTGCTGTGTTTAAAACTTGTACAGCTATATTGTGTTAAATGTAAACAGAATTCTACTCAACAAAAATACCCTCTTGATGCTTCCTCTCAAAGGCCTGATTGAATGCACCTATCACCTGGTGAAAGGAAACAGAAGAGGCTTTGCTGCAGCATAGCTGCTCTGCCTTACCTCAGTAATATAAAACAAAGATATCATATAGGAGGATGCCTATATGCTGCCTCTTTGGCTGATTTAAAAATTCTGTAACAGCTGCTAACTCTTCTCTCTCTTTTTTTTTTTTTTTTTTTTTTTTTTTTTTTTTTAATCTATGGGAAGCACAGCTGGTAGAAATGGCTGTACCAAAGGTCTGTTCTAACTTGTGCCTCCTTGAACTGCAGTAACTGTGACTGTAAACAGTCAACTAAACCATGGGCAAACTCTGCTATCACTGAAAGCTGCAGTAAAGACAGAGGAAGGTTAACCTGATCCTAAATGAAGGCCTCTCAGAAATTTTTTTCTAAAAGGTAGATTTACAGTTTTGCTGCTCTATGTAACACAAATGATCAGCAAACACAGAAATGTCATCTTTTCATGAGCACTCTGACCTGTGGGAATAGAATTGCTGATCTCTAGGAATTTCCTGTCTGAAAGCACTGGTCTAGCCTGACAAGTGGGCTCCTTTAAGGACTGCAGTGAAATCTATCCACTGTGAAGGCATGAACAACTTCCCACTGATGATCTACCAGCACTGTTTTGACATGACTGAGAAATAAAGTCACAGGGCTATGAACAGTTAAAAGATTAACTAATCTCTGAGATAGAATGATCAAAAGAACCTTTTAGAAGAGACTTCCTGTAATGGGTGAATTTTTGACTTAAAGGAAAAAGAAACCCAGAGGCCAGGCTGGCCTGGTGGGTGACTAAGGGGAGAGCAATTAGATTCTCTGTGAGTTACTCATGCCTTCAGCGTGTTTTAAGACCTCTTTTGTCTCCACTTGTGCTGAGGTAATTTCAGTTGATACTATACAGGAAACTCCAGCTTCTGGCCAGCTCTGGGAATACAGGGCACTGTGTGACTCCATCCATAAGTCACAGCTTGAATCCTCTTGTGTCTGTACTTAAGAGGACCAGGAGGGGTCAGCTTTGCAGCTCTTCCCCAGCAATAGGGCTAAGATCTGAGTCTAAACACGTTATAGAAATATATTTAGCTTAGATTCAGTGCCTACTGCTTACTGGATTTGTTTGTAGTAGAGAAAAGGAAACCAGGCACACTTCATAGAACTTACCAACCAAACAAAATAAATAAATTTTATTTATTTCTAAATCTAACCAGCCAAACAAGAACACCTCACTCTCTTTCAGAGATACCTGGTATTGAGAGAAAAATAAATTATTTTTCTTTTGGCAAAGTATTAGCAAGTCATCTCTAGGAACTTGATTCTCCACCATGAATTGTGTGCTCAACTCTTACTGAATTTAGAGATCACAGAATCATGCAATCAATAGAATAGTTTTGATTGGAAGGGACCTTAAAATTCATCCAGTTCCAGCCCCCTGCCATGGGCAGGGACACTTTGCCCTAGATCAGGTTGCTCCAAGCCCCATCCAAACTGGCCTTGAACACTTCCAGGGATGGCACAGCTGCAGCTTCTCTGGGCAACCTGTGCCAGGGCCTTGGCCTCCTCAGACAGAAGAATTTCTTCCCAATATCCCATTTCCTGCCCTCTTTCAGTTTAAAGCTATTCTCTTGTCTTGTCACCTGTGTCAAGAGTCCCTCTCCAGCTCTGTTGGAGCCCCTCTTGGTACTGGAAGGGGCTCTAAGGTGTCCCCAAAGCCTTCTCTTCTGCTGAACAGTCCCAAATACAGACACACGAACACAGTATTTTTCAGCCTTGGTCACTGAACAGCAAACCAATCTGAGATTTTGGAAGCTTAGTCTTTTAAAGGTATGAAAAAAGCGTATTTTATGATTGGCTTTGCGCAGATATTAAAATGAATATTATATGTGTAATGTTCAAAAGTTATGCTGTATGAATTCTCTTAAGTGTTAAATGTAGTTTTAGGTTGCAAAAAAATGTTAAAATAGAAACAATGCTATGTAGGATACTTTTTAAAAGAAAGGACTTGCAGCGACATAGCAGCCACAGGACACCTAAATCTTTCAGAAAAAGAGAATTTATTGCTCTTCATCAGAAGAAACGAACTTCTTCCTTGCCTGGGATTCAGAGGAAGAAGTTGTCACTGACCAGACAGAATCCTTTCTTAAAATTGAATTTATGCATCATGTATGAGGTGTATGAATATGCAACAGGCTGTTGTTTTTAAGGGTTAATCCTCTGTTAATGTGTGTCTTTTTTTGGGCTTATTTTGCCCAGAAAGAGGTACCTGAACTGTCCATAACTCTTTGTTCCTATAGTCTCATATTGTCCTAACCCTAATTGTCCAAATTTTTATTACTCTAATTATATTGCTATTTTTATAACCATTTTATTACTATTAAAATTTTAAAAACAAGTAATTGGCATTTTTCACAAAGGGAAAAAACAGAACTCTAAAAAATTCATTTTCTATGTCCTCGTTTCACACAAGTTCAAGTAATAAAAACTAAGTTAACAACACACAGCCCATCTTTGACCTAACACAGGACAACAAATTTTTGCCTACTGCCACTTGTAATAATTGGGATTTTTTTCATAATCATCAGAAAGGAGCTGATTGCCAGGCTGGAGCAAGTGGAGAAAGAGAGCATGGATGCTGCTCGGCTGGCCAAGGAGTACGCACAGCTGACAGAGGAGAACCGGACGCTGAAGCTGGCCCAGACACAGTGTGTGGAGCAGCTGGAAAAGCTCAGGATACAGTACCAAAAGAGACAGGGCTCCTCATAAGTCCCAGCCAGCTCATGGGAGGCACTTCATACAGGAATGGAAAACAGATTTTAAAATAAAGATCTGTTTCGTATGTTACAACACTTTACTACGGATACAGAGTATGTAGAAGTCTGAATTTGATTTAATGCTTGCCACCCAGTAGCTTAATATAATGGATATTTCATCCATTATATAATGAATGTTTTATTTCAAGTAACATAATTGAAGTTAATCTATCCCCATTATATGTTCTAGTGGATCAGGTTTCTTTTCTAAACATATTTCTTCCAATTTAAGAAGATATGGACACACTAGAAAATTATATTAATAGTGTTGGAAATTTGGATCATACTAAGGACTGGGACAGTGTTAATTTATGGAATACATGTATGTTAATTTTAGTTTGGTAAATTCTTTTTAAATTATTTTCCTCATGCATAAAGTGTTTGGAAGTTATCTTGAAGCAGATCTCCTCACTAGTAGAAACCATACTTGATGTCAACTTCACACTGTTGTATAAAATCTGAAAAACTGCACATTAAAAACTGAAGTAACAAAATTATTTTTTATCAAACAAGTGCACTGCCAGTGATAATTTTCAAGTTATAAAATTAAAAGGAAACAGATGAGATCAAACTTTCCTGCCTTAAGTGTAAAGATTACTTGAGTGCCTTTTTATTGTACTTTTAGGCATGCAAGAAATGAAAAATTAATATAGGAATCATAATTTCATCATACTTTCAACTGAGACTATGTCTGTAAAGTTATTGTAAGGCTCTTTTGTTCTTATTTTCTGGTCCATTTTGAAACATAAGTGGCTGTAAGTAGAGACAGGAGTTCTGTGATACACAAATAACTGGGAAGTAAAATGTCAGTTTTACTTGCTCTATTTATCCCTGTATTCTCTTAGATCAACTTCAAAATCTTGGTTATACCCCCATTTCTATCCATAGACTAGTTTTTTCATTAAAAGTGGATGTAGAAAAGCCCTTTTATGTTCTAAATGTTCTCAAATCACCCTGTATTTTAAACTCTGCTTGTCAGATGCTGCTTGTTACATCTTCATGAGCTTAGAATTCAACTTAATGTGTTATTAGTACTGTGTCTTAGTAATTGAAAACTATGAAGTTAAGACTTGCACCAGGACTTTAGCTTTGATTATTATGATTAATCTGCCATGAAAACAGAACTTCATGTTAATCAGACCAATTCCTGGCAGCAAAGGGGAGAAAAAAAGAACTACAAGCTGCCTGTAATTTATCTGTGCTAACTGCCTACAGTATTCCCTGCAGCACAGGTGGGAAAAGTGGCTCTGTGATACTCCAAGCGCTGCAACAGGACAGCATGAAGAGGTAGCAGGAGAGGACAACCTTGTTTCCACTTCTCCTCCTGAGCCACCAGGGCAGTGTCAGCATCCAAACTTGGCACTGCTTCCTGCTATACCTGGGATATCACCACTCCTGAGGCATGGGCTTCCTGCTGGAATGCTCCCTGAGCAGTTTAATACTGTATTTATTGCTCTTATTATCTGAGGATCCAATTTTCCTTGTACCTTGTGGAAGTTAAAAACAAAAACAAACCATAGTTAATAAAAAACCACTTAGAATATTAGGCCTGGAAGTGCTGGAAAAGTCTTGTTTGAGTTTTGCACTGTTGGGAAACATAACTTGAAGAGAAGTCAGAGCTTTGCTTTGAGCACAGAACACCACAGAACCTAGAATTGCCTTTTTTTGCCTGTGTTTGTGTGTTTTGAACAAGAGAATTCTCATTTTCAAATAGTTTGTCATTTTAGTCAAAGGTTTTTCCATCTAGCCTTGAAAACATGCAGTCAGATGATTTTAGTGAATTCACTGAAAACCATATTCAGTACATAAAATTTGTTTATTGACAGACTGTCTTTGGATGCAAATGGATCAGACAGCAGACCTTTACTTACAAATAACTGTGTTCACCTTGAAATTTTCTATTTAAGTGCAGTCACCATGCTTTAGATATCAGAAAAATTACAGACCATATGCTGGGAGAAAAACCTGAGAGAGAGCCACAGTCACGTGGAGAAGGAAATCTGAGCCTCATTTGTGGCAATCAGCACTGGGAGAATAGTCAGGGATTATGTTTTTCCTAACCTGTAGGTACTGAGCAGTATAGAAGGATTCAAGAAATATTTTACAGATGTGCAGATGCCAAATTTTTGATGTGGGCCAGCCTACAAGCCTGGATAAATATGAAATTCTTAAATCATCCCAAACTAATTTAAGTCAAAGATTTATATTCAACTTGGACTTTAGCTATGTGCAATCAAATTTTCCTCCTGCTTTTAGTTATGGTTAAAGTAAAAAATAACAGCTTTGTGTGAACATATTTGCCTGCATGCATGCTCATGAGCCTGAGAGCAGGAGATCAGAGAAATTGTTTCACAATACAAATGAGTAGAACTGATACAGAAGTACCAAGGATGAAAAATTAGTGTATCTTGAAAATTATTTTTTTTTAATATTTGGGGAAATGGGATTCAAAGGCAGGAAGGTAGGGAAATGGAATTTTCCAAAAATATTCACAGGCAAGTTAAATTAAAATGTAGCATAGTCTACATCATGTAGAAAATCATCCAGGTGTTGAAAAGAGTAAAGGTAGCTGGAACAACCTTCTGAGGGGTAACTGCTGTATCTATCATCCATCTCTTGATTTGTTAATCAAGAGCATAATAGTGAAAAATATTTTCACATTCAGTAAGTCTCCAATTTGGACATGCTGCATTTTTCTCTAGATACAGTGGAGCTCTGCTGACTAAATAGCTGAAATTAGGCTTTTAATAAAGTATTTATCATACTGATCCTCTATTTTCCATGTAGGCAATATGGTTTGTGTTCTGATTGAAGTGATCTGCATGTTAGGTCATGTTGTATCTATCACACTTTAAAAACAAGTTTTATACAATTACTTCACAGATGATTTTAGAAGTTCAAAAACTTAGAAGCCAGTTTTTGAAATCAAGTACCAATGAAAGGTTCAATTTTATAACATGTGACTACAACCTGTGAGAACTGCAGCTGTATTGCAGACAAAGTGTATTTCTTGCTGTTATTCAGGTTAGCAAATGTAAGCATGCCACTACTATGATAAATGCATTTTCTTCAAACCACTTAAGTCACAGTGAAGTACATGGGATTGAAACAAAAACAAGACCTGCGCTTTCCATTTTCTATCATTGCTAAACAACTTCCTTCCGTCATAAAGAATGCTGAACAAACTCAATTTAAGGCTTCCAGTTAGCAAGGATATGACTCATGTGGGCTTGAAACAGCCAGAGCCAAGGGTGACTTGACGCTTGGAACGTCTGGAAGATGAGGAGATGTGAGTTTGAGTTCGCTGCCTTTTTAAAAAATAAGTTTCCCTTTTCAGGATTATCTCTATTCTGTCTGATTTTGTGAATTAATGATCTTTGGAAGTGTGTCACCTCCCACCAGAGGCTTCCATCATCCAGGCCTTTGTAAAGATCACACACTGTTAACTGTGGGGATAGGTGGGACAGAGAGGTGTTCTCAGCCTTCCTTTGGGTTGTGTGCTTGGGGAGCTCTGCCACGTGACTCTTTGCTGCTTCACCTCCAGTCACAGGACACCTTGCAGAAATTATCTGGTCACAGTAATAACCACAAAGCCACTTGGTGGTGTTCCCTATCTAAAATTCTTTTCTTGATCAACGCACAAAGTGGAAGCGTCTAAAGGAACAGGACAGACTTGGGTCACCATGATATTTTCTGAGAAATCCCTTTGCCAGGATTTTTCTCCTGAGAAGCTGAGAAGCCTCAGAGGAAAATAAAAACAATAATTATCTGCTGCTTTGGAATGCAACAGGTGCATCTTTGATTGGTCCGTGTTGGTTGTTTTTAATTAATGGCCAATGACATAAGCTGGCTCGGACTCTCTGAGAGTCACAAGCTTTTGTTATTCATTCCTTTCTATTGCTTGCTAGCCTTCTGGTGAAATCCTTTCTTCTATTCTTTTAGTATAGTTTTAGTATATAATTTTCTTTTAATATAATATATATCATAAAATAATTAATCAGCCTTCTGAAACATGGAGTCAAGAATCTCATCTCTGCCCTCTTCCTGGGACCCCTGTGAACACCACCACAGACTTGTCTGGAAGAGCCTTGCCTCTCTGTCTGTGGGGGATGCAAGATGTGCAGTGGTGGAAGAACAGGGCTGCAGGGAAAGGAAGTTTGGTCCAGGCAGTGATGTAACAGGAAGAGCACTGGCCCTGTCCAGCAGGAATGTGAGGAGAGTTGACAAAACCTGGGTGCTGCCATGACTTTTGTCTCCCGTCTTCATACTTCCACGGTCATACCTGTGCACTCACAGCTCTGAAGGTCGTCTCCCTCCTGGTGGGATGTCATGGCCTGCAGATGCATGGATGATACGGTGATACATATCCCTGGAAAACCCACCATGAAACTAGTAACTGTCTTTGTGACAGCCTGGAAGGTGTGCAGCAATGAAAGACTAGGACTGAACAAGCACCAAAAAGCTGGGCCCTGCTGTCCATCTTGATGTTCTTCTGTGGGACAACACCAGACACCAACTGCATGACTGCACCATGGGGCACCCTATGGAGGAAGGGAAGGAAGCAAAGCAGAGTTGGAGGGGCTGCCCCAGCCTCACAATTTCCTTCACTGGTTTTGCAGTGTTAAACTGGGAGTTATCAAGGTGGTCTTTCAGGTGCACACCAAAACTGTGAAGCTGACACTTCAAATTCAAAGTAGATTATTTTATAAGAATGAAAAATCTACCTTGCTTGGGACAGTGGCAGTCACCTCTAAGTTCTTCAGTGCTCCTAACAAGTAATGTCATATGTTATTCATACCCATATGAGTGAAAGATGACAACCATTCACAAATCACCGTTATCCTCAGCCCAGGCTTCCTCCACTGAATGGTTTATTCTGTAGAAAGCACAAGATTTAGCAGATGAGTCACTTTGCTTTTCTACACACCAATTATCAGTTCCCCCTTCTAAACCTCAGTTCCTTCAATCCCCCTGACCACAATCCATCCCCAATGAGTAAGCAGCATCAGCCCAGAGCTCAGATCCAGTTGTCTGACAATCTTATGACATGGTCTGATGATCACCATGTGCTCAAGGTGGTTTCCAAGTGCTGTGTGTGATGTTTTGTGGTTCGGTGCTGGTATGTGGCAGCAAGGAATTCTACCAGCCTTCAGGTGTCTGCTGTGAGACATGCTTGGTTTCCTTGAACTGGTTAGAAAATATGAGAGTAGGTGGTCTGTGGATTTAGTTATTTGACTTAATCTTATACTAAATTTTAATACAGGAATTAGGGAAACGAAATGAGGATGTGTGTGCCGATGTAACAAATGTGCAGCCAGATGCCAAACCATGCTCTGAGTGCAAGGAATGAGTTAAGTGATATGAGAACTTTAAGTGATGGAAAGGAAGTAGGTACAGCTAGGAAGAGGAACTGGTGAGTGAGCTGTTCCCTTAACTGCTTGCTTTCTGGCTGCTCATGGCTTGTGCCAATAGAATGTATAGGCTGTTGTCCTTAGCTCAGCATTAAGAAGCTTTTTTTTAACGTATCCCAGCACTTTTCCAAGCCTAGTTTCCACTAAAATTTTATACTGGAATATTTACTTGATTAAGGTAATGTTTTTGTCAACTCAGTCTAGAATTAACAGAGTTATGATGTGATACAGATGTCAGAGCGTTGCAGATGGTTCTTCTACAGAAAGAGGAATAACCAGTATGAGAATATGACTATTGTGCTAATCATGGAATCATAGGAAATCTTGAGTTGGGAGGGTCCTATAAGGGTCATTGAGCCCAGTTCTATGCCAACTGCTGTATTTGCATTAAAGATAAATAAAACCTTGATAAATAGCTAATGTAAAGCAAAAACTGCATTGAAGTCAGAGTACTCCAGTACTAAAATAACTGCACTAATGGTCTTGCTTTGCTGTTAATGCTGCTTTCACTGCACAAGCAGAGTTTGGTACTTTTATGAACTAGATCCCCAGTTTCCCACATGAAGGAATGGCAGCAGTGTGATATTCTGTGATTGAAAAACTTTCACGTCTGTATTTTAACTTTCTTACAAGTGTATGACAAACGTCAGTGCACAACCCAGATTGCCTTGTGACCACAGATTTCTTCACAGCCATTTCATCACAGTGCTCTCCCCAGCCTGGGTCTTTGACTCCCACATTCCTCTGCTGTGTGTGGACAGCTGAAATAAGTCAACCACTCTGAACTTGTTAAAGCAGTCAGAAGCAAATGCATCATTTAACATTATCTGCTAAGGAAATTGACTGTCTTGTGGTCAGACCCTTTTGTGTTCCTGGTCAGCAAGTACATCAGTAGAGATGTTTCCTGATTAGACGTCAGTACAAAAAATACCAATGTTAATATTCATGGAAGACAGAGGTACATTC